CGGCCCTGTGGGGTGTGCGGGGCCTGGGGGGGAGGTATTGCCCCCCTCTCCACCCCGGCCCTATAGTGTGTGAGGGGTCTGAGGGGGGAGGTATTGCCCCCTCTCCCCACAGGCCCTATAGTGTGTGTGGGGCCCGTGTGGGTTGTTTACCCCACCCCCCCGGGCCCTATAGGGCATGTAGGGCCCGGGGGGGAGGTATTGCCCGCCCCATCCCCTGAAGCCCTATAGGCCATGTGGGGAGTGTTTACCCCTCTCCCCCCCCAAGCCCTATAGGGTGTGTGGGGAGTGTTTAACCCCCCCCAAGCCCTATAGGGTGTGTGGGGAGTGTTTAACCCCCCCCAAGCCCTATAGGGTGTGTGGGGAGTGTTTAACCCCCCCCAAGCCCTATAGGGTGTGTGGGGAGTGTTTAACCCCCCCCAAGCCCTATAGGGTGTGTGGGGAGTGTTTAACCCCCCCCAAGCCCTATAGGGTGTGTGGGGAGTGTTTAACCCCCCCCAAGCCCTATAGGGTGTGTGGGGAGTGTTTAACCCCCCCCAAGCCCTATAGGGTGTGTGGGGAGTGTTTAACCCCCCCCAAGCCCTATAGGGTGTGTGGGGAGTGTTTAACCCCCCCCAAGCCCTATAGGGTGTGTGGGGAGTGTTTAACCCCCCCCAAGCCCTATAGGGTGTGTGGGGAGTGTTTAACCCCCCCCAAGCCCTATAGGGTGTGTGGGGAGTGTTTAACCCCCCCCAAGCCCTATAGGGTGTGTGGGGAGTGTTTAACCCCCCCCAAGCCCTATAGGGTGTGTGGGGAGTGTTTAACCCCCCCCAAGCCCTATAGGGTGTGTGGGGCGTGCTGCCTTCCAACCAGGGCCCTATGGGATGTGTGGGGTCTGCTATCACCCCCCTCCCCCCCCGAAGCCCTATAGAACATGGGGGGTGCCAGCAGTCCCCTCTGAGTAACCCAAGCCTTCAAAAACAGGCCTTTCTGCCCATTTCTGCCTTTTTTTCTTTTTCCCAGGACACTCGAGCACCCCCGGCTCCTCTTCTCCCTGGTCTGGGGACGTGTCCCCTACACCCTGGGCTACCATTACCGTCCCCCCAGAGGTAGGTGACTCCCTGGGGACAGGGATGAGCACTGAGGAGATGCTGCCACCCCCAAACCGGGGGGGGGATGCCCTTCACCCCACACCATGAGCACCCCCCGGTAAATCCCTCTGAGCTTTGCCCTGGGGGCGATTTCCAGCAGCTCCCAAACCTCAATGGGGTTTCCTTCCTTCCCACCCCACTTTTCTTTTACCCTGCCCCCCAGCAACATTTTTAAAAACAGATTATTTTTGTTTTCTTCCTTCCTCTCTCCTTTTTTAGGGAATAAAATTTCCTTAAAATTCCTGAAAACTACCCTGTAACTACTAGATGTGATTTAAAAGCCTCAGACACCTTGCTGGGGGGGTGTGGGGGGGGTGTCTCTCCCAGCACTGGTGGGTGCCCCCAGCCCCGTGGGGGGGGCCAGGGTTGAGGATCCCAGCGGTTTGGGGTTTTTGGGTGCAGATTGGCATCTCCGTGCCGGGGGGAGGAGGGTGTGGGAGGGAAAAGTCAATTGTAGCAGCTCCGCAGCTCAATTACAAAGAATAAATTCTTTCCCCCGAGGGGTTTTTTTTTTTTGCCGCATTGGTTGCTGGGTTGGTATTTTATTTTATTTTATTCCCCCCCCCCCCCCCCCCTCTTTTTGCACTATAAACCATCCGTTGCCCTGCCAAGGAGCAGGTTCCTTCCCTGCGAAGTGGGGAGAGGGGTTCCCCCCCCCACCCCCAGCACCCTGTGGGTCCTATCCTATGTCGCTGTTTCGTCCCTCAGCTCTGGTTATGGGGATGAGGACAAGGGGTCCAGGTGTCCCCCTGCATCCCCCCTGCCTCTCACTGATCTCCTCTTGCCCGTGTCCCCCCCAGCTGAGCTCCAGGTGCTGGACGTGTCCCCAAGGGCACAGAATCTGCTGCCAGAGCTCCCCCCAGGGTGTTGATCCCACCAGACCCAGGTCTCCGTGCTCCTCTGGACCCAAACGTAGGTGACTCGGCGGCTGGGGTGGGGGGTGGTGTCCCCTTGGTGGGAACCATCTGGAGTCTCCCCTCAGCAGCGGCCCCTTCCATTCCAGATAAATTTGGGATTATTTTTCCCCAGTAACGGGACTTCCCCCTGCGGCGTGAGTGCATTTTGGGGAGCATTCACCACCAGCAGGTGTTCCCGCAGGGTTTGCGCCTTTCCTCCCTTCCCTCAGCCTGTCTTTCCCTCCTCAGATGAAAAACTGGGTCTGCAATTCGGGGCAGAAACTGGAAGTTTTCACCCCTTTTCTGGGAAAGCACCGTCCGTTCTTAGGGCGTTGCTGCCAGACCTGCACCCCGAAGAGCTGGGTAAGAGTGTGGGGTCCCCGGGTGCTGTTGGAGGGGACGGGCCCCATCCAAAGGGGCTGGGGCCTGGAGCGGGGTGAGCGCAGCCAAAACCTTCCCCCCCTCATTCCAAGGCTTTCCACTCTTTCCTTCCAGGATGGATTCTACCACAAGCATCTCTCCTCTCTCGGCTTCCGCGATGCCATCCGGGTGACGGAGGAGGACACGCGGTGAGGATGGGATGAGCTCTCTGCCAGGGAATGCTGGGAAAAACGCTTTCCTCCCCCCCCCGCCCCCAGGTTTTTGTCCAAATCTACATGGAAATCCCTTCCCCTGCTGCACAGGAGTGTGGGGACACCTCTCCATTATCCTTGCTCCCTAATTAGTCCAAAAAGGAGTTATGTTAATTCTATTTTCAATGGCTGGAAGCCGCATCTCCCAGTGCAGAGCATTAATAACAGCTGAGGGGCGAGGGCTTGCTCTGTTCCTTGGTTGCTGTCATGCTTGGGCTGGGGGGAGAAGTCACAGTCGAGGATTTGGGGTCATTTCTTTTTTTAAACAAGGCTCGATGCTGTTGGGAAGAGCTCGCGGGACGGCCGGGGGTGTTTTCATTCTCCGCCCTGGCTTCCGCACAAGGACAAGCTCACGCACGCAGCCCTCGGTGCCCCTGGGGAGACGCAAAGTGGCCTCATCCCTGACCCTTCCTGTTCTTCCTCCTCCCCACGGGCCCCAGTGCAGGACCTCAGCTGGTGTCCACCAGCCTTTCCCCCGGCCCAGGAGCTGACGTGGAGCCCGGGAGCCATTTCCTTGCCAAATGCCCGAGATATTTTTTGTTCCGGAGGTGCTGGTCCTTCGGTTCCTCTCCCCTTCCCAGAGCAGTCCCTCGTGGCTTAGCAATTTCGCACTGTATTTTTCCGAATCGGGTCATTATACTCCATTCAGCTTGAAATATCCCAGCTTTCAAACTCTTTGAATAATTCATCTCCGCTTGCAGCGACACGGGAGTTGTGGGGTGGCTAAAAAGAGCCCAGTGATGGGTGGCTGAGATCACGAGCGGAAAGACGGTGGTCTGAAGCTCCTGTGTCCCTCTCTGGCCACCTGCAGCCCTGTTGCAGGGTTGCCACATCGAAAAACTCAGTTGCGTCCCTTTTTGGTGCTGCCTAGCTCTGGTTTGGGGGCAGATTTGGAAAAGTCCCCGATTTGGGACCTCTGTAGCATCCCCTGTGCGTTTCTAGCGATTGCAGGTTTCCTGGGGACAGCAGTGTGAGGACTGGGGTGGCCCGGAGCATTGCTCTACTCCTGCCTCCCTTTTCCCAGCTGTAAAATGGGGAGGGAAAAAAAATAAATCTCAAATTCTGGCAAACGGCCATTTTGAGGGAGGCTGAGTGCCCTGGAAAAGCCTCTCACCACCGGGACGTGGCTTTCTGTCTCCCTGCCCAGGTACCGGGGCTGGCTGGTCCGAAGGGTCTGTGGATTCCTCGCCATCTGGGGCTGGGAAGTTCCTGTGGACACCCCCAGGGACCTCCTGGCCAGGATCTGCCGCAGCAGGAGGTAGGTGGGAGCAGCCGGAGGGGCTCTCCGGGGTCACCCTCACCCTGGGGAGAACTTGGGTGCCCCAGCATTGTCTCCTGATCCTGCTGGATCCCGTTTGGTCACTGGAGCCAGGGATGTGCTCCTCTGTGCCCAGGGGAAAGGAAGCCGCTGGCTGCTCCTCGCTGCTGCGCCCTTACCCAAGACTCCCCCCTAGGAAGGGACTTTGCAACCCCCCTCCCCAGGGCTCAGTGCCCCAAAAGAGGCTGGTACCCCGGCTTGATGGGGACCCTGCTCTCCTGTCTCCGGGCTCTGCCCCCAGACGCCCCCAGGGCTCTCCTGGTCTTGCCCCCTCCCGGTGACAGCAAGCAACTGTCACCTAATTTGTCACCACCACTAATTACATGGCAGGAGGCTGTCAGCCAGGACTGCTGTAATTACTGTAATGCAGATTGCTGCTTAATCCCTCGCTCTGCCTCCTGCTTCCCTCCTCCTCTCCATCCACTCTTCCCAGGGTACGGGATGTAGCTACTGGCGGGTCCCATGGCTCGAGTGGGGACGGCGAATCCCACCGGCGGTGGAAGGAGAAAATAGTCCGTATCCTGGCTGAAATCCAGGCCCCGCTCTCCCTTCTCATGCTGAGGTCTGTGTTCCCTCCCGCGGAGAGGGTCGTGGGTGCGGATCCCCTTTACGAGCACCTCCCACTGGAGGGATCCCAGTGCCTGATGGGTGCATTCCCAGTCCCTTGACTCCACTCCAGGTCCTTTGGGCTCCTGATATCTGTTAAGGCCCTTCAGATGCGCTTTGAGCGGTGGCTCAGTGCCTCGATCCCACAAACCATCCTTTCAGGGATGGGGTGATGCAGGGATCCTTTGGGGGAGATGCAGGTGGATCATCTGGGGAGCCCTTTGGGGAGCCCTTTGGGGTCCCGCACAGCTCCCTGGGGATATTTCCCCCAGTTCCTTCCAGGGAGCTGAATCTGACACTGGACTGGAGGAGACAGGGGGCAGGGAAAAACACTGGGAGGATGGAAGGCAAAGCAAAGCAAAAGGGAACTTTTCCTTTCTCTCTCTCTCTCCCCTCTTTTCTTTTTTTTCTCCTGTCATTGAGAAATTGGCAATTAAAGGTTGCATTGTAGCCTAATTGCTTGTCTGATTGAACTGTAATAAAAGAACCCTCTGAGCAGTCTGAAGTATTTAAAGGGAAGAAATTATCCAGGGGATAAAAGCATTCGGATCCTTCTCGTAAACAGCGTGCGGGAGGACAGGGAGATGGAGGGGTAATTGACTTCAGCTTTTGTTGCCGGGGGAGAAGGGGGTGGTCTTGTCACATCCAGCCTTTAATGTTTTAACTTAATTTATTGTAAAGCTGTTTATTTGCTTTACGGGAGCTGAGAAGTGACATTTTGAGTCGAGCCGTCTCGCGCAACCCACTTTTTTTGCCTGGGTGGGGAAACTGAGGCAGGGTAGGGTGGCCTGGATCAGGTGTGGAGGGGAGTTTGGGGGCAGCCCCAGCCCCCGTGGGGTGGCTGACTTGCTTGTTTCCCTGCAGGCTGTGCAACTGGGCTTTGCTCAAGCTCCTGAACTGGCTCTTCCTCAGTGTGCAGCTCCACCGGGGGCAGCTGGCGATGGTGCTGAGGGCTGCCAGGACGGTAGGGAGCCCCGGGCGCCGCTCTTGCCCTGTGCCTTGCCATCAGCACGCTGGGCACTGAGCCCTGGCCGCCTTCCTTGCAGCCCAATGTGCCGCTGGTTTTCCTCTCGACCCACAAATCCCCGCTGGATGGGCTGCTCCTGTCCTTCCTCCTCTTCTCCCAGGGGCTGGGGGTGCCCAGGGTGACGGTGGGCAGCCAGGTCTGCAGCCCTCGCCTCCGGTAAGGCACAGAGACACCGGTAAGGCAAAGCCCTGAGCTGTGGTGGGGAGCTGGGGGGACTTTGCCTCATGCAAGGCGGGTTCCCGTGGTGGCTTCTTTTCCCCACAGAGCCTTGCTCGCCCGCCTGGGAGGGATTTTCCTGCCGTCGAGGATGGAGCAGACACTGAGTGACCAGGATGAAGGGCTCCCGGGGGCTGTCCTGGCCACGGTAGGTCCTGCCTGGAGCGTTGGGAGGGATGAAACATCCCCTGAGCCCCAAAAGTGCTTGATGAAGGTGTTTAGGGCTGAGCTGTGCGGCTGTGTGGTGGGTACTGGCAGCTCCCAGCACCCCCAGCCCCACCCCATCTCCCCCCAGTACACGGAGGAGGTGCTGAGGAGCCGCCAGCCCCTGCTTATCTTCCTGGAGGAGCCCTTGGTCGCCCTGCACCTCTCCCCCCCTGCCCGGCAGTGGCTGGCCATGGTGTACCGAGCCATGCGGGATGGTGCCGTCCCCGACGTCCTCCTGGTCCCCGTGGGCATCGCCTATGACATGGTCCCCGGCGGTTTGCAGTGCCAGGGAGCGGTGAGAGGCTTTGCCCACCCCCTCCCTGAATCACCAGGCGCGTTCCTGGCGGGCTCACTCGCCCCTGTCCCCCCACTAACGCCCTGGTCCCCTCTCCTCCCAGCACGGCACCCAGCCCCTCGGCCTCGGCACTTGCCTGCGGGCCGCCTGCCGGGCCCTGCGCCGGAGCCATGGCTGTGCCCGAGTGGACTTCGCCCAGCCCTTCTCCTTGCAGGTACGGCAGCGGGGCTGGTGGCCCTGGCTCCTGGCCAGCCCCAGAGGGTTTATTGCCGTGGTGGTGGCCTGCGCAGCCCCCTGTGGGGGGTGGATGGAGGGGTCTGGGGTGTATCCAGTGTTCTCCAGGGGATCTGGTGAGCCCACCACCAGGAAAGCTGGGGGGCAACGGGACAGCACTTGTGGGCCCGGGGGACCCCAGGGATGAAGTCGGCTTGTTGGCACCGAGGGCTGTGAGCACCAGCAGGCTGGGTTTGCCTCCTTCCCAGGAGTTTGTGGCCAAAAACCTCGTCAAGCAGAGCTGCAGGGGGAAGCGGCTGGAGGAGCTGCTGCTGCCCACTATCCTTGGCATGGGGTAAGCAGGCATCGGGCCAGCATCTTGCCCCCCACGCCTGCTCCTGGCTCTGCTTTCTCATCCCTCTCACCCCGTTTTCTCCAGCCCCAACCAGCTGGACACCCAGAAGGCAGAGCTTTGGAGTCCCAGCCCTACGGCGGCCACTGGTTTAGGGGTAGAAGAGGAAATACTGGTGACCAAGCTGGGCCTGCACTCCCTGAGTGGTGAGGGGGTCCCTGTGGGCTTGGGGGGGGTGTGTGTGTGGGGGGGGTGGTTTTGTAGCCCAATTTGCTAATGAGCACCTCTCCTCTCCTGGCAGACGGCGTTGCCTGCTCTGCTGTCATGGCTGTGGGGATCACAGCTGCGCTGCTGCTGCACAAGCACCAGGAGGTGAGACACGGTGTCCAAGTTTCTTTTCCTTCGGAGCAAGATTTCCAGAGCCACGCAAGGGACCGGCTCATCCTCTTCTTCCTCCAGGGTGTCTTCCTCTCCCAGCTGATGCGGGACTTTGCCTGGCTGCTGGAGGAGATCCTGCTGCGCCAGCGTGACGTGGGCTTCTCGGGGCAGCTGCGTGCCCTGGTGCAGCACAGCCTGGCCCTGCTCCGAGCCCACCTCACCCTCTACCACCTCGCCCCCATCGGTGACATCCTGGTGGTCCCCGAGGCCTCAGTGGTGGCCCTACGGGAGCTGGGCCACCACAGTGCTGCCATCCTGCCCATCTTCGCCCGCGAGGCGGTGGGAGGTGAGGAGTGAGGCATGGGAGGGGACGGGTGACTCGGGGGGGGGATCGGTGACACCGCTTTCCCGGCAGCCTGCGCCATCCACGCCCTGCTGATGGAGATGCTGCCCTTCCTGGGGGTGACCGTGGGACCCTCCGGCATCGTGCTCAGCCAGGACGAGTTGCTCCGCAAGATCCTGGAGCTGCTCCGGCTGCTGCCCCCAAATCTCCTGGGACTGCAGGTAGGGGTTGGCGGCGCAGGGTGGCACTGCCATCACGTGGAAGTGGCCTGTCACCACTGCCTGCCTGGCTGCGGGGAGCCCAGCGCCTTTCCTCCTCTCCCCCAGCCCTGCCAGCCCCTCGACTGCCTCAGCCGGGACATCCTGGACAAGCTGCTCCTCTGTGGGCTGCTGGAGGCTGAAGAGGTGGGTGCCTCCCCGCCCCGTCCCTGAAATCCCCTCCTGGTGCTGGGGGACGGGTGGCTCAGCCCCCACTGAGGGTCCTGGCCAGGAATGGGACGTGGGGCCGGGATCACTGCTGGGGGGATGGATGGACACCCGTGGGGTGGCATCAAAGGTGATGTGGTACCCACCTTGTCCCCCCGCAGCCGGAGAGCGAGCGCTGGGTCTGCGACTTGGCCCCGCGCCCCTTCTGCAGCCGGCGGCCCTGGGCAGGGATGGACTTCACCGACAGCGACAGTGACAGCCAGGACGAGGCCCCCAAGCACTGCTTCAAGGTACTGGGGGTGTCCCCCCGGGCTGCTGCTCTCCCCAAACTCTGGGGAGACTGCTCTCCCCAAACTCTGCCTTCCCCCTCCAGCTCAGTGAGCCCCAGGGCTCTCCCGGCCTCCTCCTCTTCCTCTGCCACCTCCTGCGCCCAGTATTGAGGACCTGTGCCAGTGCCGTGGCTTTCCTGGACCGACCCAGCTGGCCCCAGCCTGGTAGGACCCCACCCCGGCGTGGGCAACTACTTCTCCACCCACACTAGCCCTCCCCCACACCTTGGTTTGGCTTTTGGGGAAACTGAGGCACAGCCCAAGCTCCCTTGCAGCCCTGGCTCTGCACCAGGACCGGAGAGGGGCTCTGCCCCCCCAGGAGCTGGGATCTGACCCCCCACTCTGTGTCTCCCACCCCAGAGCCAGCCTACGTCGAAGCACTGCTGCAGTTCCTGAGCGAGGAGGATGCTTTCGGTGGGTTGGGTTGGTGGGAAACATGGGGGCTTCCCTCCTCTTTGGGGTCAGAACCCCCCAAAGCCAGGCTGGGGGTGCCCAGGGGGTGGGTCGAAGGTGACCCTCAGCGACTTCTCTCCCTCTAGAGCACCCGGACAGGAGCTTGGTCCTCAGCTCCCTCCAGACCTTCAAGGAGATGGGGGTAAGTGTGACCGGGTGCTGCCAGCCCTCCCCTCCCTCCTTCCCCCCCCTCAAGTGATGCTTCTCTCCCTCCCCAGGTGCTGGAGGAGGTGTGGACCCCTGCAGGCCCCCTGCTCTGCCTCACCCAGCCTTTCCACTCCAGCAGCAGCCGTGCCAAGCTGCAAGCCTTCATCCAGCAGTTCGTCCCGGCCGTAGCCACCAGTGCCGGTAAAACCAGGAGCTGCCACTGCCAATAAACGTGGGAGCAGGTACCGACCCAGCTGGTGGATTTATTGCACCGGGGGGCGGTTAAGGCAGCTGAATCGGGGTGAGATGTGGCGTCTCTGTCTTCACACCACCTTGTTGCAGATGGTGCCCAGCTCCTCGATCTCGCACTGCACCTTGTCTCCTCTCTGCAAGGGGCAGAGACACGGTGGCTCACCCTGTCCCCTCATCCTGTATGGCCCCGTGCTGCCATCCCAACCCGATTTCGAGTCTCTCCTTGCCTTTCCCTCACCTTCAGAAACACGGGGGGCTTTCGAAAGACCCCCACACCAGGAGGGGTTCCCGTCAGCAAGATGTCCCCGGGGACGAGCGTGACGAACCTGGGGGATGCGGGAGGTGTCAGCAGCAGCCCCCCCGGTCCCCAGGGCAGCAGTGTCACCCTCACTGTGTGTCCCCTAGCCCATGGCACCTACCGGGAGATCCAGGCGATGAGTTTGGGCAGCCTGAAGATGAGCTGGCTGGTGCTGCTGTCCTGCATCAGCTGCCCGTTGACGCTGCAGCGGATTCTCAGGTTGTGGACATCTGGTGGGGACAGAGAGGGACAGGTGACACCAGGGTGGGGGCACAGGAACAGTGCTGGGGGACCCCTGGCCACCCCCAACACTCTCCCTTGGGCCAAAATTTGCTTTTGGGCAAATTTGGTGCCTTGCTGGCTCCTGTGTTAGCCAGGAAAGAGTTCCTGTCCCATCCCTGTCCTGTCCCCGTCCTGTCCTCACCTGCTACCGCCTCCTTGGTGACAAGAGCTGGCCCCAGGGGACAGAAGGTGTCGAAGGTTTTCCCCAGCAGCCATTGCCTCCCGTTCCTCTTCATCTGCCAGTCCCGGGCACTGACGTCGTTGGCCACCGTGAAGCCCACGATGTGGTCCATTGCTGATGACTCCTTGGTTGGGGGATGAGGACAATGTGGACCCACTTAATTGGGGTGGGGACAGGCACCGAGGAGGGGGATGGGGGGGTGTGTTACCTTGATGTGCCGCCCCTCCTTCCCGATGACGGCAGCCAGCTCCACCTCCCAGTCCACCTCCTATGGGGGGAAAAATGGGGGTATTGGGGAGCAGGGAGGGGGGACAGACCTCCCTGGTTGGCGGGGGGCATGGGGACTGGGGAGGGGTCCTCACGCTGCTGTCCTCAGGGTGCACGATGTCATCAAAGGGGCCGATGATGGCGCTGGGGAACTTGCTGAAGATGATGGGCTCCTTGGGGACCTTGACGTCCTGCTCCAGGCAGTGGTCGCGGTAGTTGAGCCCCACGGCGATGACCTTCTGCGGGTCCCCCACGGGTGCCAGCAGCCGCACCGCCTCCCGCGGCACCCGGTGCCCCCCCGACTCCAGCGCCCTGCCGGGATGCCGGGGCTCGGTGGGGGTGCCGCCGGTGGTGCCGGTGCCCCATGGGATGTCCCCGGGGTGTCACCCACCTCTGCGCTGCCGCCAGCGCCGGGGGGCCCCTCTCCAGGAGGGCGCGCATGGAGCGGGGCAGCCCTGGCTCGGCTGCGCTCAGGTCCAGCAGGGCCCCCCCGGGACCTTCCTCCAGCCCCAGACGGGGCTCAGCCCCCCCGGGACCCCGGAACCGCACCAGCCGTAGGGCCCCTGCCGGCCGCATCCCTGCCTGGGGGGACACAGATCCTCAGGATCCTGCATCCAAGGGATCCTGGGACCCTCCCTGGGTGCTGCCCTCCCCACCACTGGTGGGGGTGAGGAGGGAGAATAAGGGTCCATCCTGTTGGGGATCCCTCCGGATCTATCAGGACCCAGTGCAGGAGGGATCCTGAAGGAGGGGGATCCCGGCCTGCGGCAGTGGATCCCTCCCCAGGGGGGAAATCCCAGCCCAGAGCAGATTCCCAACGAATCCCTACCCCCCCCGCCCCCAGTGGGGAATGGATCCAGGGAGAGGAGGGATCCCCCAAGGCGCTGGGGCGGGGGGAAGCAGATCCCATGCTTGATCCCGTGCAGCCCTGACCCTGGGGGTACCTCCCCCTGCCCCCCCCCCCACCTGCACGGTGGGGATCTCTGGAGGATCCAGGCCTGAGGAATCTCCCCCCTGATCCCACACTCCTCCTGGCACAGGGGCTGCCCCCCAACCTTATACCGCTCAGCCTGATCCCAGGGATCCCCCCAGTCCCAGGGGATCCCCCCCATTGCACTCACAACCCTAGACCCAGGGGATCCTCACACACATCCCCCACCCCTCCATCCTGGGGGATCCCAGGGGATTCCTTTCCCCATCCTAGGGATACCCCTGATCCTGCTCAGCCCCAATCCCATGGATCCCCTCCCCCCTGCCCCGATCCCGCTCAGCGCTGGTGCTGGGGACCCCCGCTCCCAGGGATCCCCCCCCAATCCCGCTCAGCCTTGGTG